GTTTTCGGCATCTCGTCCACACTGTTAAGGGAGGGAGGGCGGGGAGGGATGGAGTACAAGGCAGGGGGGGATTTGGGAAGGGGAAGAGTGGGAATGGATAGGAGTGGATGGATCAAAGTTGGGTGGGGGGTAGAAGGAGAGGAAAACAAAAGAAGGGGGGATGGCAGGTTGAACCAGGGTGTGAGATGACATCACTTTGAACAAGGTTTCAAATATCAGAACAAGTGGCAGTACTTGGGGTGCGCTTGATTTAACTCTCCATTAGTCATGCATAAAATGCCATTTTTTAATTAGAAGTGAAAAAAGAAAAGAGTAAATCACTTCTTGGAGAAGATAAATGAAGCACGCCTCAGGTATGCTTTCCCTTTTTCAAATATTTGAAGCATTTTCAACTCAAACTTCCAAACAAGGTTACTGAAGTCTCAAACAGCCTATGGAAGTGCACTACACCGAACTGGTGACCATGCAAGCATTAATGCATGGCGTGTGGACTTTTCCCCTTTATTTGGCAAAAACAAACAAACGAACAGATTTTTCTGCTTTCTTTTAAGGACAGCGGTTGCAAAACTTGGATTTAAATGGATTTCTAAACAGCCGCACTAGAAAAGGCTTAAAGCCACAAGATAATTATTGGTGTAATTGTGGGTTAATTATATGCTGCAGCCGTGGAGACCTGCAGAGATTTGATAGACCAAATCAGATCATCAGGACTGGGGAAAAAGGCTCTGGATTTTTGCTTAGGGAATGTGCAGTTTGCCAAAAATAATTTACTAACCTTCACAATATCCTACATGTGACACTTAACTGAAACCCTTGACATGTGGCTTTCATGATCCAATCTGAGTCTCGGCAACAGTGAGCACTTACAAAGACGTAACTGGTGCCAGAGTGAAATCATCTCCTCTACGTAGTGTCCAATTTACATCAGATGGAATCTGTTTTCTCGTCCTTTTCCTTCCTCTGACCATTGGGAAGCCAAATCAAGCTTATATACCCTTGAGATGTGTTCCCATCTAAGTACATAAAACTGGTTATTAACTTGAAAACTATATTTTTCCCGGCAGTATCCCTCACAGGGACGGTGGGCTGAGCTACTTCCTGCCCCCTCCCCCATCTCCATCACTGCACTGAGCTTTAATTAACACAACAAGGATTCAGTGTCCTCTGACAACATCACCCAGAGGAAAACTACAAACTCATTAAATCTCTGCAACTCCAAAAAAACCTAATGAAATTAAGCCAAAGTGTTTATAGTTTGGGGAAATAATGTGAAATGAGAAATACGCCAGGGTCAGTAGTATTTGCAGCTAATTACTCACATTTGTTTAACCTGTTTGGGGAGGCAGATGGGAAAAATCAGCCGAGAAGGGAAATAAAATGAGTGCCACAAAGTTTAGAAGTTTATGGAAAGTCAAAGAGCCACAACCCGAGGGACACCATGGAGGTAACGGGGTTCATTTTGGGAATTGTCCGTTTAGAAGAAAAAAAAAAACTGGACAAAAGTATTAGTTACTATATTATTTAGAAGTTGTAATAGTTTAAACTGTATACTACTGTGAGATTTTTGTAGTGCACTCCAGGTTTCATTTGAGACTTCCCACAGAGCATGCAAATAAATATATACGAAAAAACCGTGAACATAGAGGACAAATAAAACGTGTAGATGAAAGGACAGATGGCTTGATGGATGGAGTAGTGGGAAGATGGATGGATGGATGGATAATATCTTTGTGAGGATGATGGAGAAAAAGACAGACACTGGGTTGCTGAAAAGACAGATGAGTGGAAACACGGCACAGCGATACAGTAACTACCAAACAAAATGGTATTTGGAACATTTTTTTAGATGTCAGGTGGATGAAGGAGGCAGCCAGTCAGTCTGTCTGTTGGATGATCGGTCAGTCATTCATTAATTCATCAGCTCCTGTTTGTCAGCTAATTCATTAAAGCATCAGTAGCACATAAAGCCACAAACTGACAAAAATCAACAAAATATTAACAAATTAATTCCTGATCAAACCAATAAGGCCTATTGGAATCAAATATCCTCCAGAAACAACAACCCACAGCAAAACAGCCTCAAAGAAACAAACTTACTATAAATGTTTGTCTGTCTCCTACAAATTATTTTTCCATGCTATTATTTCCTCATTAAAACGCCTCCTTTTCACATTTTTTTAATGCAAAATAAGCATAAGAATTTTGTTTATTATGAATAAAGCAAACAATGTGTTGCATAAGGAAAATGTAAAAGATAATCATAATACTAATGATTAGTATTATGAGTTATATTGTAAATAAAACATCCAGTACTGTACGGAAGTTTTGAGTAACCCCTCATTTCTTAACATTTAAACTCAGAGGAATTGTTTTTTCTCTTGTCTTTTTTTTAAGTGGTCCTGAGAAAGAGTTCTCCAGGTTTTCTGAAGTTTTAAACGTTTTTCTTTGGCTGCTTTTTCCCTAATTTTCAGTTGAGTTCTTGTTTCTAACCATTTTCTGAGAATTTCTTTTTTTGATAGACCACTGAATACTGGCCTATGAATCATTCAAGCATAAAAACTACTCAACTTAAGAATCAGTCTTTTGTCTACTCAGACAAAGAAACAGTTTTAATTTGTATTTTAGGCACTTTCCTGTTAGTAGCCTGTTAGAAAAACACATCATTCAGCATCAATGACCAAGATAAAGCAGTTTGAAGGGCATCAAACAGTATTTTTGCACCAGCAAGGTCAATTCCAAAAAGCTATCGGTCAAAAACTTGGCATTTCTGGGTGGAAATAGTCTTGGTGGAAGAGTGGGTGACAAGAAGCGATTCTTAAGGAAGGGAAACAGGGAGAAAAGGCTGTGATATGTTAAATTACACAAGAACTGGACTGAAAGTTAGTGGCAACAGATCTTATGGAGTGATGAATCCAAATTTGAGATTTTTGGTTCAAAGAGTGAGCATCTGCATCTGTAAAACATGGAGGAGGCTCTGGTTTGGTGCCTAATTTCAGCCAGTGATGTTGGGGATCTTGTCAAAATTGAATTATGAACATAAAAAACTACCATCTGGAAAGCGTGTGATTGGAAATGATTTCATTCTTTTGCTTAACAGTGATCCCAAAAACTATCAGTCATGGATTGGCCTCCCCAGAGCCCAGACCTCGACATGATCGAAGCAGTGTGAGATCATCTTGGCAGAGAATAGAAGAAAAGGCAGCCAACATCCAAAGAAGAGCTTTGAATGTCCTTCAAGAAGTCTGGAGAACTCTTCCTAAAGACTACTGACAAGAAAGCTGCCTAAGAGAGTTAAAACTGTTTTGTTTATAGATTGTAACTTTTAGAGCTCTGCACGGTGAAGCTCCCCAGTATATCTCTGACCTGTTGAAACCTCATGCTTCATCCCGAGCATTTAGGTCTTCAAGTCAGAGGCTACTGGTGGCCCCACGTACTAGGTTTAAAACACGCTAGACTCTACTGACTCCTTTAAAAAGCAGCTGAAGACATTTTTATACAAACGGGCTTTTAATTAATTTTAACTTGTATGTCTGATCTTATTGTGAAGCACTTTGTGATTTTTATCTGTGAAATGTGCTATATAAATAAATTTTACTTACTTACTTACTTATATGGGGGGTAGCTCAAGACTTTTACACAGTACTGTACAAAAGATTAAACTCTTATGAGTTAAAGATAAAATAATTCAAGTTTCAGGGAATTTGTTTTGTTTTTCTTTTTGCTGCACATCTTCGTGGTGATAAGGCTTTTAGTGAGAAATAAAAGGAGAGCCTCCTTAAAATAACACAGAGACAAAACCCATCACAGGTTACTGAAAGAAATCTGGCAACATAGCACCATAAAAGATCAAAGAACTGCCTTCAGATGCTAAACCGAGCTAAGCTTTGATGTGGCGTAAACGCAATGGTTCCAAACCTATTTATTATTGCCACTCAAAGGCAGTAAGAGAGAAAACAGCAAGTGACGGGGCAGGGGTGAGAAAGATACAAGATGTTGGAGAGACGAGATCAAACAGAACAAAGAGAGAGATGAAGAGAAAGGGAGAAAAAGTAGCGATGAGAAGAGCTCAGACAACAGACGGTGTGACTCTGCATAAACATGTCTAAGTCTTAAAAAAAAAAAAGCCAGATCCTAATGGAGACCTCTACCACACGAGAACGTACACATGTCCTGAATAAAGAGACACACTGCAGTATTACTGGTCCAACACACACGCATGCACACACACCGCAGGCTGCAGGAAAAGCTCAACTCTGAAAAACTCTTTAGCAGCACTGTAGCCTCAGGCTGCGTGGCTGGGGTTTGTGTGAGTATTAGATGACATCATTCTGACTCGGCTCATGATCAAACTTGTTTTGTCGTAAGTTAAAAAAAAAGAAGAAGTCTAACAACGAACAACACAAACACATTTGCTCTGTACGGACTTATTATCCCCTGGAGGTTTAGTCTAAACTCAGGCTAACCTCAGAGAAACCAAACGCTCTTTTATTTCAACGGCACCAAACTGTAGCTGCCAATTTTCTGCATGTGCATCCAAAAGTGCAGTCAATGTCCAGTATATTTTCATCTAGCCCACGTTCATCACTGAGCCTCTTTTAGTGTTTTCGCCATCAACATCCCCGGCATTGTTATCATCACCGACGCTGCCCTCATCGCCACACATCCTTCAGCATCACTGTCAACATCATGAGCATCATTTCGAGACTTACCTGTGTGCATTGTCCCAAATTAAAGGAAAGGAAAGAGACAGAAACATCACATTGATAGTGAAAAGATGAGTAAGCCAAGAGAAAGGTAGTTGTTGAAAGAAAATAGGAAGGAGAAGGAAATTAGAATAAAAGAAGAGAAGAGAGAGTTTTTATTATGAGTTTAACCTCTAATGAATTAAACTCCACGTCTCTACTCCGGTCGCAGAGTATTTTGCGCACTTATTATTGTGCGTCTTGTGACTTGGACATGCTTATCTGCAGTCATGTCGGGTTTGGCGGGGACGGACTTACAGCTCTCGGTTTGAAGGGTGGTTGCACCTCCTTGTTCTCCAGTTTCTCCCAGTCCATGTAGCGGAAGAAGCTGTGCTCTCTGATGTCTCTCTCCCCCTCTGGACCACAGCCCAGGCGTTTCGCTGGATGCTTTGTCATCAGCTGTGCAGACATGGAGAAGAGAAACGATTACTGTGTGTCCACCTTGCTTTTTTTTTGTTTGTTTTTTTTAAGTGAATGCTTATTCATCTTTCTACCTTTCTGGTAGTCTTGACACTGCAAAAAAAGCTAGTAGCCACATTAGCATCTCTGTGAGGCTGCATTTTCATGCATCTGTGCTGTGAAGTAAACCTTACATTTACAATACTAACATATTGATGTTTAGCAAATATGATGTTTACCACGCTCACCGTCATAGTTTCAGAGAATAGTGCATTGTAATTGCTAACTGGCACTAGATTTAAGCTATAACTGAGAAAATAAAGTCAAGGCCAAGAGACAAGTTGATGTCTCCCTGGCAACTTTTGATAACTAATGAAAAATCTGTGGTTCCTGATTGGTTGGTTTAAGTTGCCGGCTGCAGCGTAGGTGAAATCAGTCTAAAAGAGGGTTTTTCACCAAAAACCTCCTTCCCACATAGCAAAATTGGTATGGCCCGGATCTGGCCCACACAATGTGGTTACACATGGTCCACATACCGCAAAGAATGACGGCCCTTTGGTGGCCCAGATCAAGTTTGCCAGTGGTAATCCGCACATGGGCCAGCACAAGGCCAGTTGCAGACACACCAGTGGTCTTGTGGTGGTCCAGAACAGTTTCATGTCTGGCCGGAACATAATAGTGCAAAAGACAAAACTCTTTAGACTGATTCTTATACAGCGCTTTTCTACTCCCCACATTACTCAAAGTCCTCTACATGCCACATTCACACACTACCTCTAAACTGAGTGCTTCCTAACTACATTCATACTCTTGACAGGCAAACTGGAGGTGCCAGGGATCGAACCACTAACCTTCCGATCAGTAGGTGACCTGCTCTACCGCCTGAGCTACAGCCACCCAGTGGTAAACATGAGTAAACCCTCACTAAGTTTTGGATAAAGTGTACACTCACAAACCTGCATTTGAAACATTGGCCACCATAGCAGTATAGTATTGCAACGTGGCATGTGGGTCTTCTAACTAAAATAGGAAAATAGGAACATAAATAGTGCCATCATTGCCAGACCTGGCCCACATCTGGTTGACATACACCCTGCCATGACACCAGTCACTCAGAAGTGCCAGCTTGATGCCGGATCCAGGGAAGACCTGTTTTCTATGGGCCTGGGCCACATACACCAAACCACAATTGGGCCAGATATGGCATGCCATAGCATAAACATTGACATCATTGCCAGACCTGACATACATCTGGTTGACATACACCCTGCCATGACATAGGGTCAGTCAGAAGTGCCAACTTGATGCC